AAGCATCTAGCAAAGTATTTTCATAGCATGCGGTATGAAGTCTTTATTTGGTGCCAAAAAAATGTAGCAGTATGGAATTGCTTCTCAATGTCACTCAATATTTTTCTTAAAAAGATTCAATACTGTTCTAATAACGGAAATTAGGCCAAAGAAAAAGATATATAAGCCAAAACAAAATCTAGAGAAAGGCATGTTTCTCTCAGACCCTCTGACAGCACTAACTGCAAATTCCTCAAATCTGAACGCACACCTTTTGGCAGAACATCCCAAAATGTTTAAAAAAAAACAAAGTCTCCGGGTCTTTCACAACCACTTTACTTTTATCCACAAAGAAAAGTATGCAGCTGGTTTCCTTGAAAGTGGTAACTCTAGAGTTCAGTTTCCTAAATCCACCTCCTTTTCACTGTGTAAATATTCAACAAAGAAATGTACGTTCTGTGCAGAGTGCCGAGCTATTGTATTAACTAGTAATGCAGTCTGGTGCAAGGATTAGAAAGACAAACCCTGAAGGAATCCAAGCATCATTCTACTGTCTTCAGCAGTAGAAATTTCCTTTTCAACATGTGCTATTTTTACTAATCTCTCATATGACAGGATATGAAATCTGAAGGACAAATATTTTGCAGAGAGGCTTATTCATTTTATTATATTCATTCTGAGGAATATACCCCAGGGACCTGATTCTGCCACCCTTATTCACACTGAGTTGCACTTTACTCCACGAACAGGCCCACTGACTTTGATCCGCAGGCCTGCCAGATAACAAAACCTTGTATCCTGGGACTCTTCATTACTATACATAGTATTTTAATAAGGTTATCATCAACTTGGCCATATCCAGTTAATTTTCAAGGTAACTTGTGCTGTATGTTGTTTTATATCACATGGAAACAAAAACTTGGGCTCTGCAAATGAATGGTCACGCTGTAGTTGAAATGAAAGCTTTCCTTAAAGCACTGAAGGTATCATTTCTGTAGCATATATTTACCAGAGCCAGTCTTGCAAGATGCTGGTCTTTTCCCTCTGTGATCTTGCTTCATTGCTCTTCTCTCTGCCCATCTGTCTAATCATTCTCATAGAAATATCTTCTTCAGTTTGTCACAATCACAACATGAGATGTCAGGTTTCTCTGCCGGACCGGTTTCAAAATATTTGTTCCATCACAAACTATCACTGGATTTTAATTCTCAGGGTAATATTTTTTTCCCCAAGGACAGAATAGAATTGTTTCTCAAAAGATTAACTGGTGCAGGTGTAACCCACACACCTCCTGAGTGTGGTGCTCTGTCCCATATAGTGGCACCGAGACCACTTAGAGAGAGAGATTAATGAGTCTGCTCTAGGGGCCATATGGTTTTTAGCTCATGCAGTAAAGGCTCATGCATTTAGCTCCAAATGCCCAAAGTTCGATCCTGCCCGCCAACGACCGGGGTCTGTTGGTGTTACAAGTGGGGGCTTGTCTGGGATTTCAGCTGGGACGTACCTCCTCAGGCAAGGGGAAGTATGCAACCCACACACCTCCTTGGTGTGGTGTTCTATCCTGTCTAGTGGTACCGAGACCACTTAGAGAGAGATTAATGAATCTGCTCTACTGCCTTAGCTAACAGCCATATGGCTTTTAATTCATGCAGTAGAGGCTCATGCACTAAACTCCCGAGGCCCCAGGTCCAATCCCACCCACCGACAACTGGGGTCTATCGGCCTTACACAGGGTCAATAGATCGAAGTGCAATATTGGGGGGCGGGGGGGGGGAGAGACCTAGCCCTTGCTTATTGTCCCTGCCCCCATATTTGGAGGGGGCTGAAAATAACAGTTTTAATTCTCAGATTCTCTATGGAAATATGTTAGGTTCCTATTTTTCCAACCTCAATTTCCCTTGTTTAACAAATATTTACAACTTGAAAGTTTTATTGTTTTAAAATCAATCCAGGCAGTACTATGCATAACTCCAAAGGGTGATGGAGGTTATTGCTCTGTTTAATTTGCATTCTTTCAGGCCTCTGTGTTTCTAAAGGTAGAATAATATAAGTTGATTTTAATGAGGAGTCTGGCCTATGCTTTCCCCCCCACACACACTGCACAGTAACCAGCCACTTTTATTAGCTCATGTTTTTTCCCCAATTTAAGTCACACTCTGACTTTTGCCTAAAAGACTAGGGGTTTTCATATGGCAGAGCCAATGGTTGCCTTATTAAGTCTGGAATATTCCAAGCCCCTATTTGTCAATATTACTTTCTTTAGCTTTCTGTATCTTCCTGTTTAGATGGCCTCTGGCGAATGACTCCTTCAAGAATTATGATGAAATTACTTTCTTGAAAAAGTTACAAAGTTCTTTTGTTTATGTAATTAAAAGACATGTTGCTCTATTCCTTTCCTTGGTAATGGTATCTTGTAAAAGATTCTTATGTTCACACTTGATATAAATACTAACAGCCTATCCAGAAAGGGGAATAGGTCAGCTGTTTTTTCTGTGAGCGGTTACAGCAAAGGCACTACCCTGGTCTCTGGCGGCTAAGGTTTGTCTATGTGTCTTTGGATCACTGATCCACCATGTAGTTTAACTCATCTATGCCATCCTTACAGGTGATACATTACCTCTAGTAACCATTCTGCTGGGAAGACAAATGTTGGTCAGACAGCCGGAGATCCTTTCTATTCACATTTCGTTCTCAAACCTGTTTTACTTCATGTTTTCTTAACTGCTTATGTTCTCTATAAATGTACAATGCATTTCCATACAGAGAAAACTGCATAGCCCTCTACAGACACACTGAGTGCTCCCTAAACACTGCGTAATTATTAGGAAAATCATGTTTTTCCCCTTAACAAACCACTCTTTCAAGGAGCATGGCCTGTCAGACTGGTGGCACATCAGAAGGATAACAAATATTCATTAAGTTAGCATTATGCAGCCAGCCCCTGACTCTATGAATGACAAGAGCAGCAAAGAGGTTAGAGTGACCCTACATTCTTTTCCATATTTGCAATTCAACATGTAGCCCCAGAGGAACAATGAAGGCTTTAAAAAAAAAAAAAAAAAAGGGAAAATGAAGCTTACACAACCAAGTAACAACCAACGTTGAATAAATTGCACTGCACTCTAGAGAGTTTTCATCATATTTTATTGTTTCTACATAATGTCAGAGTGATGTGGTAAAACCATACCAAATGCGCTGACGCGGGATTTCAATGTGATTTTTATGTAAGTGTCTCAGCATGTCCTGCATTGACGTGTCTAAGCAAAGCAATGGCCTATGAGGAGAGAAGTCCTGCAGTTAAGGCATAAGATGGAGAGTCATGAAATCTAAGTTCTTTTCATCACAGACTTTCCTCACTCAACTAGTTTAATCAATCCATACTTCAGTTTGCCCATCTTTAAAATGGGGATAACAGCACTTACCCACAGGGTAAGTTATGAAGCTAAATTAACTGATCTTAGTAAATGTGTGGGGATTCTTGGATGGAAAAAAGTTGCTAGAAAAGTGAAGCGTACTGGCTGAATCTGGCAGCACAATACCCGGGCTTCCTTTTCCAGCCTATATTCCCAGCGTGAAAGGACTCCACAGAAGGGGTAATGAGGGACTCTCCAAGGAGGCCAGCATAACATTCTGTTGCTCCTCAGCCAGCACAGGCCCACTATTCTGAAAAGAGGAAGGACAATCCAGAGGTTGGTGAACAATTCATTCTCTGCTGAACGTGTCTCAGGAGATTGCTTCTATTAAGTCCAAAATAAAACTGTAATTCATAATCTATTTTAAAGAGAGAAATATTTTAAATAAAATGGTCACTGAAGTTGTTCTGCTTTTAGCGAGACTAATATAAAAATGAAGGAGGAAAAAAGATTAACCTAGAATACAACCTCAGGCTAATGAACTCTACCTTGCTAACATTAGCCACTGAATTAAGTGGTAAATGGAAGCTGCTCCAGTTTATTTCTTAACAAAGGAAACATGCAAGGGGCTAAATTCTGCCCTCAATGCACATCTGGGGCTCCCACTGAATCAATGTAGACATTCTTCCAAGGGCAGAATTTGCCCTAATTAGTTATTATCGAAAACAATAAAAACTAATTAAAGGAGAGGGGCAGAAGAGAAGGGCTGCAGCATTGTGGAGTTTCTTCAGTTTTTTACTGCTCTAGAAGGAATGTTGCATAGGGTTGGGAATTACAACAGCAGACTATGTCTTGCGGACTGAAAAAAGTGACCAGCAGTGCAACAGTCTATCAAGGTGCAGGCTGGAGGGCATAATTAATCACTGAAGACATATTATTTTATTCCAAGGGGTAGACAATCCTCTCACTTCAAAACTAATAGCTCCGGGCTGAGTGTACACTTCTCCCATTGAACCCTTTAAAAATGGCCACAAAAATTCAGATGTACCTTTAATGGATATTTTAAGACATAATCAGCCAAATACTAGCCAAAATTATTGGCCTGCAGGGGTGGCTCTATGTATTTTGCCGCCCCAAGTACAGCAGTCAGGCAGCCTTCGGCGGCACGCCTCTGGGAGATCCGCCAGTCCCGCACCTTCGGCGTACCTGCCGCCGAATTGCAGCCGAAGCCACGGGACCGGCGGACCTCCCGCAGGCATGCCGCCGAAGGTGGCCTGAGTGCTGCCCTCACGGCGACCGGCAGGCCGCCCCCCCTGCGGCTTGCCACCGTAGGCATGCGCTTGGAGCGCTGGTCCCTGGAGCCGCCCGTTTGTCTGCCAAGATGTCAATAGTGTTAAGCTATTCTAATTGATCGAGTCTTGCCTCCACAAACATGATTGTGTTCAGAAAGCCACTTGTTATTACACACACACACACACACACACTTCCATTTCTGCACTCGAAGCTTTAACAGTACAAATAAACAGAGTGGATTACATACAAATTAAGTATTTATTCGATTATCTCTATAGGCTGACCCATCCATATCTATTACCAGTTAATGCTGAGCCGCATCATATGATGCTCTCCAATCAATAAACATGCCAGATGTATCTGTCAACCTCCTACCTTGGCTCCATCCACACTGATAATCCGATAGCTGTTTCTTGTGCTGTCATAGAAGTAGGAAACAGTTACAGCCTGCTTGCTTGCAGGAACCCAGTTCTTCTTGGTGCTGGGGTCAATTTGGAAGACATGTGCTCTGGTGGTGAAGATGGGCTGTTCTCTGGAATAGGGAGGGACAGGAGAAATGGATGCATGAGTTTGTGGAAGATGAAATGTTGCAGAAGTCCGCTCTTGATCAACCATGTTGAAAACAGCAGGCCTAACCACACAGTTCAAATGAGATAACCCTGGAATTCTAAACGGAAAAACAGTGCACTAAAATTACTATCTGAATCAGCACTCCAGCGTTCTCCCTATTCTTAGCCTTACCATGTGACATTTAGCTTCCTGAACTCACTGACCTTGTTCCCTTCTTGGGCCACTAGTATAAATGCAATTTTAGTTCCCATGTTGCTATAACTGGACACTGTTAAAACATTAACACCTTTTTCTGCAAATCTGCACATTATTTCAATTCAATTACATTGACACACAACTTAGCCAAATTGATCTGCTTTTTCTAAAAACACACAGCTTTCCTTCCTCATACCATTCAGCCATATGAATCATTACTTAGAGTCAGAACTCACTGCAGAGTCTCCTTACAATTTTATCAAACCAAATGCCCAGTATCACTATTTACATACTAAAATCTCAGTCCTTCTGTTCATTCTGTTCTATGGATGTGCATGAAAATTTGATCAGCTGCAAAGTAGCTAACCACGATGAAAAAAAAAGTTGTATTACATTTTAGTTCAACAAACTGTATCTATGGGTGAAGTATTTGGGGTCCCACCCCACAGCTTCATTTCCTAACTATAACACAGTCAATTCACAGACAATTTTACCCAACATGAGAATTCCACACAAAGTACAGGTTTGTTTTTAAGGATGACAGAATAAATAACATGAGAGCAGAGAAGAAGTAGGGTTGGAAGAACAATATATGTGATAAACATGAAGTTATTTGGTTTGAAGACTACAGTTAGGATTTCTTATGGCAGTAATGTCAGTAAATATTCTATTTCCACTTCAAATTGTGCACCTTCCATCTAAGTTTAAAATTTAACTGTAAAGCAAACTCTACTACATTTATATAATCTTTTATTCCCTGAGTCTGAGGGATTATATAAAATAGTGAACATTACATGACATCACCACTCAATATATCACATTTAGAATATTATATAATTAAGACATTATCTTGACATAATTATGACAGGATGCAGAAAGGTCAGTTTATTCCAATACAACCCACCATACCAGCCTCAGAGAAATAGGATATTTACAACACAAAAACTGAATAGGCTACACCAGGCTAACTAGCGATGTCTAGGTAGAACACCAGTAGGAATCTCTGATATTTGTTCTATAAATATTTTAATTTACCTACCCCAAAACCATCAATCTGTGCAAATATCTGGCCTGCATGTTTTCCATCATGTTCAGTCCTTTACTCCTCCCAGCTGACTGTTACACCCACTTGTTGTGTTATCTTAGGCTATGGCTACACCTGGAGCTGGAAGAGTAATTTCCAGCTTGAGGAGACACATCCACCACACTAAAAATAGAAATGTAGCTGCCACAGTGAGAGAGGTAGGAGGGGCTAACAGCCCCGAGTACACTGCTAGCATCTCAGACAGGATCCTACTCGAGGCGGCTAGCCCCTCCCACTGCTGCAGCTACTCTTCTATTTTTAGTGCCCTAGCTCAATCAGAGCTAGTGAGGGTGTGTCCTGGATCTGGAAATTACACCTCCAGCTCAAAATGCTGACATACCTCTCGGCCGTAAGAGCTTCAGGGCAGGGACTGTGGTCTGCTCTGTTTGCACAACATCTAGCACAAACCGGCCCTGATCCCGATTGAGGTCTCTAGGTGCTAGATAATACATGATGGTACAAATCAAAATGAAACAAAGTCCAGAGCTGTAAATTTACTGACATTGGGCATATCTGACACTCTAATTGTAGAATTAACTTGGCAAAGGTGGTTTGCTGGTGAAAAGCCTAATGAGGCCTAAAAATGAAAACGTGCAAGTGCAGTAGTAATGTTTTTTCCTTGTAAGACATATGCAAGGTTTTAAATGTTTCAGGAGCTGTTGAGTAAGTTTCTGGATGGATGGCTGTGCCAAATTCAATAAATTCAATACTCATGAGGAAGACACTTCAAATACAATGGGAGTTTCTCACTATGTCTGTGAAGAAATATAAATTATTCCAGTTATTCCTTATCAGTAGCTCTCTGAGATGGATGTTATATGCAGTCCGTTATATGTGAATTTGGCTCTCACTTCAAATGCTAATATTTGTGCAGTGCTTAGCTGGAAAAAAGGGGCATTTCTCTATGCTATTCATAGACTACTTCAATCATAAAATACTCAAGTTAAGAGGCCTAAAGCCCACTCACATGTCAAGTTTTTATTAAGCAAATACAAGTGAGTCTATTCGCTGCCATGCCAATAATTATCTTCATATTAAAACATATCAGAATGCCACCTGAGTAAGCAGCGAGGGTTTATCCGTAATAGGGAAGTCAGAGAAATTTCCCCTTTAAAGTACTGGCTCTTAAAAAAAATACTAAATAGCTCCGCAGTCAGGGAATAGATATCTTCCCCGACCCTGTTTGCCTTGCTCTGTATTTTTGGTGGGCATAACAAACATAACATTGTCCTCCTGAGTCTGCAGACTGACCGTTCCAGTACCTCTGCTGTGGCTTGTAGCTTCGCCAGTCTTGCCTACTGCTATTCAGAACCCTCTGGGGAGCAGTCAAAGTAGCAAGACTCAGTCTTCTTTTGCAGCTTGGGAAAGAAGCCTTGAGCACCAGCAGACGCTGGAGTTTTTTACTGAGAAGGTTAAACCCCCAAAACAGAGGCTGATACCCCCATCACCTCCAGTCTTGAGGTAGCTGGGAATCTTTGGGGTGGGAGGGAAAGCCTAGAGAGAAAGCTCCTCCTCCAGCAACCAGGATGCTGTGTGTGTGTGGTGGCGGCGGCAGTGGCAGATTGAGTTTGGGAGAGGGCATTCCAATTTACTCAAAACACTTACACCAGCTGGCATCTACAAAAATAAATGGGCTGCCAAAAAATGTTCAGGGGCAGCAACCTGGTAGGAATCCAGCCACTGGGGTGATGGGTAAGGTCGTTCCTTTTCAAGTGGTATTGACTTCTGAGCAGTGAGACCCTCACTGCAGTTTAGTCCTCTGCATATCAAGGTGCCTGGTAGTCCATGGAAGAGGGTGTGTATGCAACATTAAGTTATGGCTGATTTAGTGTAAGAGGGTGGATGTTGGGGTGAGGGGGAATGAAGAGATTGATTGGCCAATTTAGAAAACAGAATTAGGGGAAATATTCTGGGGAAAGACCTGGAAGATACAGAAATAAAGCGGATGGGCACATAAGAATGGCCATACTGGCTCAGACCAATGGTCCATCTAATCTAAAGTATCCGGTCTCCAACTGCAGTCAATACCAGAGCTTCAGGGCAACTGTACAGAACAGGACAATTCTGGAGTGATCCACCCCTATCTTCCACTTCTTAACCTCTGCAAGAAGCCAGAACTGTATTGGGCAAGGGGCTGCACGCTGACCCTCTTAGCTAATAACCACTGATGGACCGGTCCCCCGTGAACTTAACTCGTTCTTTTTTTAACCCAGTTTTATTTTTGGCCTTCACAACATCCTACAGCAATGAGTTCCACAGGTTGATTGTGTGTTGCATGAAAAAGTACTTCCTCTTGTTTGTATTAATTTCATCAGGTGACTCCTAGTTTTAGTTTTGTGAGTAAAGCACACAGTGAAGGAAAAGAAAAAAAAAAGAGGAGATATAGAGAAGTGCAACTGACAAAGAGAAGAGGAAACAGACACGGAAAACAATGCATCTTCCCCAATGAATTTTTTAATTTCTAATTGGCACCATCAAGTAAAAGCTACATTCACAACCAGCCAGTCAAATTTGGAGTACACCAGGAGGGCCAAATTCTGCTCTTACTTGCACCCATGACACAGCTTTCACTTCAAAAGGTGTAAGAGAATAATTCAGTCCAATTATAAATTAACCCCCCCTCGCAGATATTCCATGCATATTTAATGTGTATTAGTCACATTTCAAGTGCAAATGCCCTGCAACTGACATAGAATAATAATGTGCAAAACCAAGATCTGTTTTATTTAAACATATTGTAGTTCAGAGAGACACCATTTTACCAAACACCAGACTGGAGTGAAATGTAGTTATTTTATGTGCCCTACAAAATGCTTCCAACAGCAGAGTGCAGCACTGGCACTCACTACAACATAGGATGAGGAAGCCATCACTAAGACATGTCATTTAGTGTTAATTTGCCATCTTTGGTTCCTGATTATTAAAAATGGAATGGGTATGTTAAACCAAGATGTGCAGTCCCTCCAAACTCCAGCAGTGGCTGATGACATCTGAACGCATAGGAAAGCTCCAGGTAGTATTGCTGTTTTCATTGGAGCGTAACCCTTTCCTTCTGCTGCTCTCCTTTTCGTCTCACTGCAAGGTTTGCTCAGATAACGGGGGGAGCAGGCGGAGAGAGGTAAACCCAGTCCACCTCTGCCAAACTTATTTCCATATCAAACTGGCAGAGCTTTCACTTCACAAGATACATCCCTATTAATAAGTAGCTAAATAAATAAATAGATAAATAAAGTAGCACTACAATAGTCTAATACCCTAGTTCACCCTTAATAGTCGTAGGACTACCAAACACAAAGCTACACCATATCTTCACTCTCGTCAGTTTAATTTTGCATAGCTTAATAGTTTTCAATTCCAAAGAATTTCAACACCACTACACATTTATTGTGTGTAAATTATTGAATACACTCCCAAGACTAAATATGCTAGGTTACTTACTTTCACATTTCAATTTCCGTAGCACACATTGTAATGTAAATGAAACCTCATATACCTCCAAGATAGAAACTTCTTTTTCTTCTTGTTTTATAACGTTGTGTTGTTGTTTAAAATAAAATCTCTCTCCATACTCCATGAAATCTGATGAGTTTACTTTCTGCATGCTTTATTTATTTACAGGCACAGCAACATATACAAATACACAGATGATGGAATAAATACTCTATTCATGTACACTAGTTATT